TCATACAGCATGGGGCTGTGTGTAGCATGGACTGTTCATAGCTTTGGGATGTCTACAACATGGTATTGGCTACAACATGGGTGATGCTGTAGCATGGTGTTGTGTGCTGCATGGGGATACGTGCAACATGGGGTTGTCTACAACATTGGACTGCTTGTAGCATCGAGTAGCCTGCATCATGGGGACTTGTGCAACATGGAACTACCTGCAATGTATAGGTCTCCATGCAACATAGTACTGTCCTCAAGTTGTTGATGCATCTTTTTTAGAGTAGTCAGAGCTGCGGCTCCAGCTTCGAGAGAAGATTTGACACCGCAACAGCCTCAGTCATTCAGGTGCGTAAGAAGTTGGCACAGTCCTCGTGTGACCAGCTAGGCTGCCCAAAACTTCGAGGCTGTTGGGCGACCGGGGCACACTAGTGGGCAGGGGCAGCTGTTGGGGTGTGGCGGGGGCCATGCCGCGCACTTGGGGACGTTGCAGCATAAAGAACGTCAAGAGCCTTGACGTAGTGAGTAACTGTGCCGCTTCTTGATAGAGTTTCCCAAGGGGGATTGTGTTGACTAGGGTGAGCAGATACTTGCCTTCGTCCAGACAACAAAGGTGCTCACGAACGTGCTCGAAACTCATCCCGCTTGGGCCTGCTCCTACGCTATTTTTGCAAGTCGAGAGGATGGTACAGAGGTCCCGCAAGGTTATTGAAGGCGCAGGTGAACATGAGCTTTGCTTGAGCCACTCAGGCAGGTCGTTACAGCACAGGAGGTCGCGGGTGCGTAAGACTTTTGAAGTCTCAGGAGTTGGAGTTTACATATGTGCTTTCCAACACCTAAAGCGCTTTGGCTATGTTTTCCTGCTTATCCAGGCCAGCTTTCCAGTTTTGTCAAGTGCCTGTTTTGGTGTTGAGGTGAGGTCGATAACATCACCGACCGTAAGCCAGCTTCCTCCCCCGCTCGACCTCGCGCCTCATCCTCCTGCTGCTGCTATACCACTTCTCGTTGGTGCTTCCGTGCTCCCCCTACAAAAGTTCGTTCTTCCCTCGCAACAAGAGCCACCGATGTTGCCTGCACAGCCCGCTGAGGCACTTCTACATTTGTGCCTCCAAGGGTATGGTGCGCGCCTCCAAAGGGTGGGCCTCCCATGTATCAGACATTTGTGGAAGCTGAATATGGTTGACGTGGGGAACTCTCGTTATATGGTATACCTCCGCCTCCTCTTGTGCATTTCCTGCATCATCCTCCTACGCAGACAACGGAAAATCTTGACCATCCAACATTGGAGGTAGGAGCAGCAGCGAGGATGGTGGCAAAGGGCTGGGTCTCCCCAAAGTTCCAGTTGTTTCGATCCACTACCTGTCGTTAGTCAGGGATTCATGTAGCGGTTGGGGATTGTTCCGCAGACGTACTAATGCTCCTCGTCCGCTTGAGGTGGAGGGGCACAACCTTATGCATCTGGGGCACGTGAGGTCCTTTGTGGCTATTGTTGCTTTGATGATCGACAATGTAGCGGCAACTCTGGAGAATCTACCAGGTGAGATCAAACGTGATGAACCATGTACAGATGCGGGCAAGTCGGGATGGGGCGTGGGGTGTTGAAGCACAAATTGGCGCGGACAGAGTTAGAGCCTAATAGATAGCTTGTGTTGGGCGCGGCACTGAGATGGGAATGCGAACCCTAAACCCGCAGTCAGTTGTAGTCATGATGTGCGGCCTCGTGTTAGCGCTCTGTCTGTTCACGAAATGGCAGAGTGGCTTCTACGGCGCGCGGAGTTGTAAGTGGTCGGTTGTCGGTAGCACCTGAGGCATGGTTGGCGTAGTCATACTACTTGCTATTTGTCCTATATTGCTCGTCTTATAATGGTTTGCCTACGCTTGCTATTGCTGCAAGCAATAGCAAGCCGTTCTCTCTCTCTCTCTCTCTCTCTCTCTCTCTCTCTCTCTCTCTCTCTCTCTCTCTCTTTCTCTCTCTCTCTCTCTCTCTCTCTCTCTCTCTCTCTCTCTCTCTCTCTCTTTTACTATCTTTCTATCTCTATTTGTTTCAATTCCTTTCTTTTTCTCAAATATGCACCCCAATTTTCCTTGTAATGATTGAACAGCCACCGAAGGTCGCTAGCTTTAGCAATCTGATGAAGGTTCTAAACATACCGCAAGAGCCTTTGAACTTCATGGTCCGTGGGATGATTGTCAATGTTCGACCCCACGATCTTGATCAGCCAACCGCGGATAGATTTCCGGCAAAGTTGTATGTGATGGACGCTGAAGGAAACGTCATGGAGCTGCTTTTTTGGTCTGAGAGGCAGCCGCCACCGGCACCATGGACAATGGTCAGATGCTTCAAAACGCTTGGAGAGTTCGTGCTTGGAGCCACATACGACATCTGCTCCATCAAATGCACTATCTCCAAGAAACTTGGGTGAGATTTTACTACATATTTGAAGTCATAGTTTGCTTAAATGCATTTATAGTATGGGTCTAGTCTAGTCAGCATGAGGTTATCATCAGCATGGGGCTTACCTTTATATGCATAGTTGCAATATGAAGTTGGTTGCACAAAATAGAGCCTGCAGCATAAGGTTGCATGTAGCATGGGGCTGCCTACAGCATGTGGCTGCCTGCAGTATAGAGCTGCTTGTAGCATAGGGTTGCCTGCAGCATGGGGCTGCCTGCAGCATGGGGCTGCCTGCAGCATGGAACTGCCTGCAGCATGGGGCTGCCTGCAGCATGGGGCTGCCTGCAGCATGGGGCTGCCTATCGCATGGGGCTACCTGAAGCATCTAATTGTCCGTACCATGAGGTTGTATATGAAGTGGGGCTGACTATAACATAGTGTTGCTCGCAGCACGGGATTGTCTGTAGTCTGAGGCTATCGTGATATATAGATGTTTGCAACACGAAAATGCATACTACACTATGCTTTCTTCAACATAGAGCTACCTACAACATAAGTTTAAATGAAGCGTAGGATCGGTAGCATTTTTTAACTTTCCATATATCAATAAATCACAAAAACTTCTTTCAGGTACTCCGCTGGCATACTTGACGGTGTACTCACCTGGAAGCACCGTTCATCTCATGCTCGCATGGCGAATGAGAACGACAGCATTCCGCTGAGTGTGTTCACCCCTACACGGCTTGATGCATTGTTCTCGCCCGATCCATGCACACGCCGTCGGGTATGTGTTCATACCATTTCGTGACATTATACTTGATATCATACATCATATTGTGTTATGTTAGTTTATGTCAAATATGCTTCTGACGCTTATTGATGATTTTTTTTTGTTACGCGATCATACAGTTCCACATTTGTCATCAACGCTCATAATAACAATAGTTTGTTCAAACTGTTTAAATATTTCTTACTTGTAGGTCTCATCCTTTATTGTGGAGCTGACAGTCTCCAAGATGGAGCCCGGTTTCTTGCTGCGAGCTCTGTGTTCTGTACGTGACGAGAGCGGACGCTTTGGCTTGACGGCGTTAGGCTCATCAGCGGACCGGATTCGCATGTTCGTGGAAGGGCAACAGATGCTGACCAGGACATCATTCACGGCGACTTCAGTGGTCTTGTGGATCACAGAGCTCTACGTCGACCATCCTCAGATCTACACGACCAAGAGGTATCGTAAGACCAGGAGATATCGTAAGAGTCGTCGTAATGTGCTATGTCAGTTAACCGAGTGCAAGTATTTGAATGTGCACTGTGTTGATATATCTATATTGTTCGTGATTTGTGCGACACTAACTATCTTCCTATTTTGGCTATTGTAATCTTTCCTAAAGGTCGAGGGTCATCAAGATTACAGATGATGCTATTGCTGCTCGAGTCACGCAGAGTCCGACTCCTGTTCACACCGCATCAGCCGACGTCGGCAACGTCACTTCGTAAGTGAAACACGTTGTTCATAGTTATCATGTATGTATTGCATGTTCGTCCATGCTAAAGATAGTATCAATTCTACAATCAATAACTGTTTGTATGATGATGTCCGGATTCTGTAAACTTGTTTAAATCGTTTATTCTCCCCCTTCCAGTTTGGGAGCAGTGGAAGACAACGTGGTCTTTTTGGCCAAAGAGATCACGTGTGCACTCAGCGTGAAAATACGCAGCACCGACATCACTACAGCATCGTTCTGCCCGTTCAGGCCGTCGGACGATGCCCCTGATGTTTGCGGTTTCCCCGTCACCGGATGGTGTTTCACCAACGACGGGTACCTCTGTGACATAGGGCACGTGTCACAGGACACGATCGAGCGAGATACCGTTGTTGCGGTCTTCGACACGACGACAGGTGCTTGTGTATCCACATTTTATGTTGTACTTGTCGTTTGGTGTTCTATCTTGCATTACTTTATTGATGTTATGATCTTCTCACTAAATTTGCTTTGAATGTTTCTTTCCCTTCCAAAGTTGGAAAGACCGCCCGCACAGGTGTGACTGCGATAGTGAGCTTGGGTGCTCTCCAGGACGGGCTGGAAGATTTCAGCATCGAGACATGGACCGCAGCTGATCGTGCTGGGAAGAGGGAGATATTGTCGAAACTCCTTCATACACGTCTTCAAGTCAAGGTACGTAGCGCAATACGACAATGATGCTGTATGCTACAAGCGATCCTAAGCTGAAAGCGGCATTGTACAGTAGAAGTAAACATATCCTAAAAGCAACATCCTGCTACAGCCGATCCCATTGTTTAATATTGTGTATTGATTAAATTTGTATTGTGATATAAGGTCATACCATAATCATCGTTGGCCAAAACCCCATGTTTTTGGTCGTTTGTCTTTTCTCCCCCTATCACAGATGGTTACAAAGGCTGCTGGAGATCGCTTTGACAAGGTTATCAATACGATCATCATGGTAATTCTGTATTTGATCATTATTTGAACCATGACATAATATGATATTTTTTTGTTCTTATACGTATGTTCTCTTGTTTGCACATCAATTGACAAGTTATTTGCATTATTTTCATATTTGCGTGTTATTTGTAGGAGAAGCATGTTGCGGCTATGAACGACAACAACAAGCGTGTGGCGTCGAGTGTTCCTCCTACCATTCCCACGACACCCGTGAAGCTCGCCCAGCGTCGTGGCAGCCAGGTAAGACGCAAACCATCAATTTTATCATCAATCATTATACTCAACTTCTGTATATGCATATGAGACAAAGTACATTATGGGATTGGTTGGAACATGTGTAGAGTTTGTAGAGTTATATACTTGTTGCATTTTGCACACCGATTTTTATTTATTACTTATTATCATTTATTTTACGCATATGTTCGGTTAATTGTTATGTTTTGCAGGGTCTGTGAGCCCCAACATCTTCATTTGCTTCCTGATTCTTGAAGTGCAATGATGAAGCACTGAAAATGAAGAAACGTGAGGGGAAGGAAGATGGGAAGGATTCAGAGGAAATATGCGAGTTCGGGCAAGAATGGCGGTTGCAATGGATTATATTCACTAGGACGACCCCTTGATACATGCATATGCGGTCTATCATATGTGTGTGCATGCGTGTCTCTGTATCTGTTTGTGTGCGTGTGCACGCGCGTGCTGGCGCATGCATCTATATATATGAACAACCTTGGATGGTGTTGGTTGTTTTGTTTCGAAGTTTGGTCTTAATATGTGTCATGCTGCAATTCAAGATTGTCATCGTCGTTGATGCAACGTGTCTTCGTTGTTTCAACGACCCCATCAATCTAGGTTGCAACATTGACGCATATTAGTACCAGCTTCGGAACATATGTTTTTATGTTCGTTCACTCATGTCTGTTACTTATGTTCGTTTCGATGTGTGGTGTTCTTACGTATCGTGCTGCAGTTTGAGATTGTCATCGTCGTTGGAGCAACGTGTCTTCGTTGTTTCAACGACCCCATCAATCTCGGTTGCAACATTGATATGCATTAACATCCATTTCGGCACGTTCACAAACACTTGTGTCGTCGTTCATTCGGTATCCCGTGTCAGTTGCACTCGTACATGTTGATGCTATGTTATATTGTTCGATCATACCATCCGTTGTATTAATCGACGATGCTGGGATGGTCGGACATGTTTATGGCTTCAACATGGAACGCTCGTAATTGGTTTCACGTTTTGGAAGATGTAATTCAAAGTGTTGTTTTTAGTCACTTTTTGGGCATTTGCTTCAAATGTGTGCCCCAAAAAATGATTTGAAAAAAAACAATCTTGAATGATATCCCCAAAAAGTGGAACTGATTATATAGGGTTGCTACGCAACCCAAAAAACTTGGAGGAGCATTTGGGCAGGCGGGGTGTCTCACATGGCGCCACGCCACCACCGCAGTTGACACGGGCGGGAATCAACAGTCCGATCCGAACTGGTGTGATGTGATCCTAGCAACACGTGCTGCTTTGAAACACGCCCAGAAGTGATCCGAGGTCCATCTTGTTCCCATCTTTTCACCAGCTGTCCCCATCTTGTCTGTTTACGCCAAAGCCAGCTTTCGCCACGGGCTAAGCTTGTCTGCTTATCGTCAGCTCCAAGCCTGCTAGCTTTTCCCCAAGGCCAAGCTTGTCTGCTTCTCATCAGAACCAAGCCTGCCTGACCACCTCTTTCCCACCTCAACCGTGTTCTCCCCCTCTTCCCATATCCGCCCCTCTTTCCGCTCCCCTTTGCTCCCCTTTCCCCTTCCCACAGGCAAATCCGGAGGACGAGCTTCCGGACCCTTTCATCATCCCCCCTCCCCACACCCGCTCCCCTCTGATGCTCTCTGCTGATCTTCTCTCCCATTGTACTGTACTGTACACGTTGCGATGCGACGCCCTTTGTTGCTTGACTGATCTTCTCTGGATCTCTCTTCGCTTCGACTCACCTGGTTTGGTTTGGATTGTGTTGTGATATGGATACAGGAGGGGATGCATATCCTCAAAGCCCAGTGATTCTTTCGCAAACTGAATCACGGACTGCCTCCTCCTGCCGAGCTGTTGCGTGATGTTGGAGGCCTTAGACGGGCCGCGCAGAATCAGTTGACGGACAGGCCACGTGCCCTGCATGAAGAATCACGTGAAGCCGTCTTGAGCGGAAAGCAGCTGCTGAAAAAATATTACTGACGCGGTGTCGCTTTGGGCACTGATTAAAACATTTTTTTTGCAAACGATTAGGTTTGCACGTGAAGCTGGAAGACTGGGATGAGCGCGAGCAACAGCGTGTTCGTTAGAAGGCATATGTGGGAGGAATCTTCAGGTGTGGAGAGAGAGGCGGTCCCGGAGGAGCAGGAGGGTAGAAGCAGCGGGGGAGGGGATATGGCGAATGACTTGAGCGGGGGAGATTTGGACAGTGATTTCGACGTGGAGAGCGAGGAGTCGGAGGAGGTGGGGGAGGAGGGTGGGAACGGTGGAGGTGAGAGTGACATTAACGGTGACGATACGATCGGTCACTGTACGAACGGCCAAGATACGGACGATCAAGGTGTCGGTGGCGATCATCTAAACGGCGCTGCGATTGGTGGAGCTAGCAGGAAGCGGGGAAGGACTCCGAGTGAGCCTGATTTCGCGGAGGGAGGGGATTACATGTCGTCGAGAGGTTCTGGTTTTGCGAGGTATGACAGGGATAGTGGAGTGGGTGATAATGAGAGAGCAGAGGAGGCGGAGGAGGCGGAGGATGAGGAGGAGGAGGTGGAAGACGACGGATTCAGCGAGGATTTAGAGGACGATAACGCAAACGGTTTAGCGGATAGGAATTGTACGTCAGTTGACGCAAACGATGACGCCTTTTTTCGCGGAGCCGTTTTGGAGGGTGATGACGAGGGCGGAGGGTTTGAAGCAGCAATCCATCCTGCATCCTCATTATACGCGGCTTCGTTATACGCGTCCTCGTTGTCCGCCCATTCATTGGCTCAAGCTCCCATGAACGCGAACGCACTATCTGTGGCAGCTAACGGGTTAGGGTTTGGTATCTCAACGAATCCGTTGTTGGGCCTTAGAAGGTTCCTGGAAGTTGCGGGTGGAAGAGACGTCGAGGGCCGGGGTGCGGCTGATACGTGTAGCGGAGGCGAAGCTGACGTGGCCGTTGAAATAAGAGCTGACGTGGAGCGAGCTGGAGAAGCCGCAGCGGACGCACTGAAGGCTGACGTGGCAGCAGCGGAGAGCACGACGGACATCAGAAATATGTAGAAGGCGTTTTGGCTCATAAACGCCTTCTTGTGTGTGGTTTGTGTTGTGCGAACCATGGTTGACTCCGAGGGCAATAAACCACCCAGGGTATTGCCCTTTGTGTATGGAAAACGGGGGGGTGTCCGAACCGGCATATACGCCCGATTGTTCAGCTACAGTGTCGGAGAGTAAGCCGGGGTTGATTGGGTTTGGGCGGTAGTATACGATAGTTCGCGAGTGGGGAAGGTTCAGTGGTAAATGAGCTGAGGGGTCAACCGCGATTCACACTGCCCTCCATTTATGGCGGGATGGTGGGGTTGAACGTCTGCGAACGACCGTTTACCATCGTCAACCTTCTCCACTGGAAATGTGCAGAGCGCTACTGTTACCACCCGGTAACCTGATTTGGTTACCTGACAGAACTACACTTGGAGACACAAAATTTTTGTTTAATAAATATAATAACGATCGTGGGGTATCCTTGTAACCATGTTTCAGTTACCTCACATGACAAATTCAGCATTATAAACGATTGGACGGTGAATATAATAAGAGTGCTTTCCCCAGTCGGTTAAAAATGTATACTGATTCAAATCTCAATGATAGGCAGAATGCAATATAATTCATATCAACAATTAACAATACAAACTTGGAAGTTAATTAAACTCCAACTAGCACTCCTGTAATAGGTTAGACACTACCCTGCCCCACACCCAGCTAGTTTGTTTACCTAGCTACTATGCAGGTCTCGTAAACGAAATATCATCACAGCAATCACAACAACAAGAACAATCACGAGTTAACGCGTCAAATGAGATAGTTAATAAATAACGAAAAACGAGGTAGTGGTAGTGTCAGTCAGTACCTTAAGATGCACGAACACACGGTTACACGAATGCGCAATAATGAACCTGTTTCACAAAGACAGGACGAAGATGGCAGTTAGATCATGACGAAGGCAGCTTAACAATGAAAATATCCGCCTAACGCGCTGCACAAACGATCCGGTGAAACCACGAGATTAGATAGCGGAGAAGGTAGCTGTGGGGTGAACGAGAGAAATAAACAGACAGCGAACGAAAAAAAAAAAAAAAAGGAAACCAAACCCATGAACTACAGCAGCTTTAACCTGAAGAAGACGGAACAGCGACGGCAAAACAGACCACGATCGCTAACCTGGCGCTTCAGTGTCCGACCGTCGCAGCTATTGTAATTAACGGACTAAAAGAAGACGCGAAATACAAGCTGAAAAAAAACTCGCTCAACAAAAGTCAGGTGTTGCTTGCGTGGCTAGCAGAATCGGTATTAAAGAGCCAGGGAACTCGCACGAGAGGGAAGGTGCTACTGGAGCGGCAAGCGGAATCAGAAACAAACACTCGGGATAATCGAAACATCTACGAAAAAATGGCGCACGTACCTCGAGTTAAGGAAACTAGCATCGGGGCAGGTGGAGTCACGGGAGCTGACTGACGGGAGCAGACACACCAACCGAGCAGAAACAAATGAATAACGAACGACGGGGTATGCTGGAGTAATAGGCGTCCAAAGGAGGAAGATGGGAGGGAGGGAACAAGGAAGAGCGAGTGCTGGGGGTGTGAACCTCCAGGAAAGTGGGAGAGGGGGGGAGGGTGAGGTCGAGTTCGCGCACCGCCAGGAATGGATTGGGTTGGAAACCACTAGAAGCAACCAGCGGGGCATAGAAAACCTCGCGTGGCAAGATGATTCGTTGAGAATATATCGCGTATGCTTTGGCAGGCTCGTTCGACTGCCAGCGCAGCTGGTAACAAATGAACCTGGTCGAACCGTGTGCTGGAGGGATATTACGATGCACCACTGCTCGGCAATTTCATTGGCGGGGTGGGCTGTACTGCTGCCAGCTCGAGCTGGCAGTTTGAGAACCTGTGATGTACAGCTAATGCTCGTTAGAGCCCCTCCCAGTTGCCTTGTGAAGGGGGTCTGTAAGCTAAAACGTCATTTCGTCGGTTCGTCAAGGGTTTCGTGAGGCTTTGTTCGTGCATTTAACGCGCATATGGTTACCACTCGCTTTGTCCGTTATGTAACAGTGTCGGGTGGCACCTGTTGTCACAAGTGCGCGTTACCGAAATCCACACGAAAGCAAAACTGAACCGTCAAGCAACATCAACATTTGTTCAACTTAGATTGAAACAGCTGACACACAAAGCCGGGCCAATCACGAACTACCACATGGCCCCTCATCCCCTCTACTGCAATTGTGCCCGTTACGTGCACAATCCAAACACATAGCAAATCCACAAAAACTCCACCATCCTAACCTTCGACTCCTCATGAGTCCACAAAACGAATTCACACATGCATCCACTCTGCCGCCTCCACGTACCCGCCCATGTGGATGGGTTACCTCCTTAGTGCAAAGCTGACGTGGGGTTGTCGAACAACGCCTGGCTGTAAATGGGCTTGTACCCCACAAGTGCGGAATACACGTGGCAGCGTGCACCAGCCCAGATGTCTGTTACACGCACCATGATACTCGCCTAGGTGGCGGGGCAGGTGGGCGAATGCACTTACGAAACCACTGTCATTTCGTCCATTCGTTTCGTCAGGTTGGCGCATGGCCTAGAAACAAGGGAAAACATGGGTCGGCACTGCTTGTTGTGGTCTTCACGTGGGGGATGTGAAACAAAGAAAACAGGAATGAAATGACTAAGTCAGAGTTGGGTACAAATACAACCCTAGAAAGCTGTACCCCATATGTGCTACCCCACTATGGCCTACAAACATGCATCAGCTATGATAATCTGACACACCCCCATAGGCAAAGTGGGGGAGAACAAGGGGTCACAAGACCAGTCAAGCAAAGCAAAGCAAAGCAAGCTCAGGGTGGATCACAAAGTCACCACACAGTCCGAGCACAAGAGCAGGGCCAGAGGCCAGTTCACATGCAGGAGTACAGACATATATATAAAACTAGACAAGCAAGAGCAGGTATATATATATGTCATAGTACAAGTGAAGTCAAGAGGAGAGCAAGTGAGGCAAGACAGGCACAAGACCCAGCTGGGTGCAAAAGCGCTGATGGTCACAAGGCGCGAGTGCCTTGGTGAACACATCAGCAGTGTTGGCCTCAGAGGCCACGTACGCAAGTCGCAACTGACAACGCTGCTGCAGCTCATGAGCAAGGAAGTAGCGGAGAGCAATGTGCTTCGTTCTGTGCTCCAAGCGCTGCTCTCGACACAAGGCCAGCATGGCCTTGTTGTCTACGTACAGCACTGGAGGAGAACGAGGCGGCTCTCCAAGGTCAGTCAGCAGGTAGGTGAGCCAGCGAAGCTCCTGTGCAGCCATGGCCCCGGCGTAGATCTCAGCCTCACAACTGGAGCCGAGAACCGAAGACGAGCGAGTAGACCGCCACGAGACAGAGCCGGAACCAAGGCTGAAGGTGTAACCCTGTGACGACCGCTGCGTAGCCTGGTCGTCAGCCCAAGAAGCGTCCGCGTGGCCGGTAAGGACCACTGGACTCCGCCCTCCAAGCACTAGCCCCATGCCCGACGTGCTGCACAGGTAGCGCAATACCCTCTTCGCTGCAGCCATGTGCTCTGGTCTGTGTCTCCCAGGAGCAACATAGCGAGCAAGAATGCTCAGAGGGTATGCAAGGTCAGGTCGTGTGCAGGTCATCAGGTACATGAGGCAGCCAACAAGCTCTGCATACGGGCCACTCGACTCTACGGACTCATCCGAAGGCAGAGCTGAGAGTGAGTGGCGAGTAGGCAGAGGAGTGGCCTGAGGCGAGGAGTACGTGAAGCCGAAGCGCTGAAGGACCTGCTGCACCATGTGTGACTGAGTCAAGGTAATGGTGCGGCGTGCTCTGTCCCGAGTGATCTGCAAGCCAAGGTAGCTGCGCAGTTCACCCAGGTCTGTGCACGTGTGTCTCTTCAGCAGCTCGGACTTCACGTAGGCGAGTCCAGCAGTGTCCGCTGTGGCAAAGACCAAGTCGTCGACGTACACGAGGATGTAGAACGGCGGCAGGGAAGTGTCGGTGCGAAGAAACAGCGACGGGTCAGCAGTAGAAGGAGCAAACCCAAGAGCCGCAAGCGTAGTCCTCAGTGTGTCGTGCCACTCACGCGGTGCCTGACGGAGACCGTAGACTGGCCGTCGGAGGCTCCACTGGGTGCCAGGAGGGAAAGTCCCAGTGAAGCCAGGTGGACGGCGAAGCCAGATCTCCTCATGCAGGCTACCCTGCAAGAACGCAGTGCTGAAGTCGAGAGAGTGAAGCTCGTAGTCGCGCTGAGCGGCTATGTGCAGCAGTACCCGAAGAGTAGTCATCTTCGGGGTGGGAGAGAAGGTCTGAAAGTAGTCAACTCCCTGCCGCTGGCTGAAGCCACGAGCAACGTACCGTGCCTTGAAGACAGGTGGAGAGCCCGGCGGCCGCTTCACCCTGAAGATCCACATGCCACTGACGATGTTCGCCCCAGGAGGGGGAACCGCGTCAACGTAGGTGCCTGTGGACTTCCAGGAAGCCATCTCTGCATCCATAGCTGCCTGCCACTGAGAGGAGTAGGGACCCTCTACGGCCTCCGCGTAAGAACGCGGAGTCGGGATGTCTAGTGCATCCGGGTCTCCCTCAGGGGCAAGCAGTACAGACGCAAGATGAGGTGAAGCAGCCGCTAGACACTGTAACTCCTCCTGCCTGTCCTCTAGGACGTCCGTGCCAAGAGCACACTCACCCCCGACGGACGGAGGACAGACAGACGCAGACTCAGCAACAAGACTAGCAGCGTAGTCGAGACGACAGCGAGCAGCAAAGTCGACGAGCTCAGCGACTAGAGCAGACGCAGCAGTGGACTCAAAAGAGGGGTCAGTGACGACAGTAGCAAGCAGATGCGTGACAGTAGGACTGGCAGCACGAAGAGAGTCCGACTCAGGGTCGGCAAGCGCAGGAAGAGAGGACTCAGGAGGAGAAGGCAAAGGGGCACGCAGAGGAGCAGTGGATGGACGCAAAGACATCCGGTGCGTGCCAGGGACAGGAGGAGGACGCTGACGCGAAC